CTCCTTGAATCGTGGAATGTGATAAGATTACTCAATAACTGCTATTCTGGATAACCATAATATTTTATGTTTGCTAAGATCCTAGGCGATTCGAAGGTTTGGGCAAGAACGGGGTCATCGCTCTGGGTGACCATAAGGCACTCCATTCACTCAGATTCTGGGTGTCTTGCAAGCTTGGGCGATGATGTTACTGTGTTCGTGGGCTTCCACTGCATTCATAAATAATCATGTTTGGACCTTTATCCTGGACTCTCAAATTGGGCTTTACTTTTTGGGTTATTTGATTTGAACTGCACTTTTAGTGTGTCAACAATCTTTATGTGTTTAGATAGAAACTGTGATAAAAATTGTACATTTTTATTGATTTTTACAAACTTCTTTGCAATTTTTGCTTTGATTCTACAAACTTCTTTGCTATTTTTTCATTCCAACAATCATGATTTGCCACCCAAAGCTATCCAATTGTCCAGCCTCCAACGGTGATCCACACAAAGAACAAGATTATAGGATTAGTATTTTCTTCTTGTGCTAGCAAGAAGAATGAAGAAATCTCTACAAATTTAAAACCCTAATAACTTATTTATATAAGTCCAATCAGGCTTGGTTGACCCGATCCAATATTTAATTAACTCATTTAATTAAATTCAGTCCGTGAATTAATTAATCCAATTAATTAATTCGAGCCTATAAATAGGCAACACAGTTAATTAATTTATCCAACGCTTATTAAATTAATTAATTGAAAAATCACAATCTACCAATTCTCCTTTTGTGTGCGACCCATCAGGTTCCCCGATCATAATGCCTAAAGATGTGAATTATTTTGTTGATCTAATCAAAGTCGATAAATTAAAACACCCTTTAATTTATCATCAATTCACGTTCACCATCCCATATTGACATCGAGCAATATATCAAGGCAATACATGTGATGGGTGACAAAATCGTACTCGTTTGTTCATCATGAAACTATGATCTCCCATCAATATGATCCGATTAATTACGAGATATGAAAGTGTGTCAATCTCGATTGTCGATTATATCTTTCGTTCCACTATTAAGTCAATATAAGTCGAAAACTTCTTTTCAACTTTTGAATACACATTGGCCAAGTATTTTGCTATCGACTTAATTGAATGAAATGTAAATCATAATCTCTTACTGTCAAATCGAAGCAATTGGATGTCCAACTGGGGCCGATCAATAGAAAACTTCACCCTTGTCATATATTCCATACATCACACTAGATAGATATCATATTCACGGAATAGGATTCACTTTCAAGATGCCTTGGTGGTGAAATGGTAGACACGTGAGACTTAAAATCTCGTGCTAAGTGACGAATCCTCTATTGGTCATTCACAACTTTCATACCATTCTTGACATACTCGAATGATATCGTATTAGTGGCCATTGGCAGAGCAACATTCAACACTGTCAAAGCATGAATGTCCTCATACAAGGCACTATGATGACCTCAAGTTAAAGGACCAATTCCACTACCGAACGTTATAGATCAACCACTGATACTCAGATAGTTATCCACTGGAATCTCTCAGCGGGTCTCCAATATTTTGTTCTATAACAAAACATTCACATATTCATTCAAGTATCACCGTACTTTAGTTTGTGAGATCAGCTACTTACTTCACAAGTAAGACTTTACAAGTAAGAAAAGTCACACGTGATGGTCTATCCATAATAACGATATCCATATCTCATCATTACTTACGACCACGGATGATTTAAAATTTAATCATATGTAATTTGTTTATCACAATCACAACTCTTTATGATTAAGAAATTACTAAGATTTGAATCTACGGACTCCATTATTTAATT